TTCTCTTTGCAATATCCGCTAGGACCCCTTCAGTGCAAGCACTGCTTGGGGAATATTCGCTAGGACCCCTTCAGTGCAAGCGCTGATTGGGGAATGAGCATCGGATGTCTGGGGTCGCCGCCAGCGTCGTCGTGTTGTGGGGCTCGCTGGGTGTCTTCGGTCTTGGAGTCTTGCCTGGGGCCTGTGGAGGATCTCCCTGGGGGACGGATCTCCGGCCAAGGCCGAGGGCCGCCTGCTCTCAGGCGATTGCAAGCATGGGTCAGGGGGGCGTGGACTGGCGACGGATGCAGTTTCCATGGGAAATCGCGGGTTTCCGCCGCCGAGCGAGGCGGCACCGGCCGCATTTTTAGGGAGGGCACCTCCCCCGATCCATGGATTGGGCGACCGCGCGCCGAATTCATGGATCGCTGATCCATGTTTGCGTGCCCCCGATGCTCCCCGCTCGAGGCATGCTGCCCGAGAGAGGCGAGTTGGAGACCCATATGATATACACCAGGGTGCTGCGCGGAAAAATCTGGCCCGATGCAAACGGGCGCATCGATGCAACATCGGCCGTGTGTTATTCGTTTCATCGCGCGCCCAATGATTAGCTCCGCGGGGGGGGAGGCGTTGGCGAGCCCATGGCTAGAACTCGCTGTGCCCTGGCATTGCGCACGGGCCTCGCCCGTGGCAACTGGCCCCGCCTTCGGGAGCGCGACAGCAGCACAAAACACTGATGGGGGAGTCGGAGGAGGCGGAGAAGGGTAACGAGGGGAAGGAGAGGTAAGTTGATGAGGTCGAAAGGGGAATGATGGGGGAGTGGGGCCGAACTGCGGTTCGGGCGCCGAGACCCCGCAGTGACGGGGGATGTATCCCCGCCTCCTGCTCCTCATCCTCCACCTCTGTCTTTCGCTTTTCCTGTCGTTTCTTTTATTCCCCAATTGGTGCTTGCAGACCCCGGGAGCTATCCAAGCCGAGCTCGCACTAGCCGCTATGTCAGACGAACCTTGGTGTATACGGTGAAAACCGAGGGAATCGAGGTGCATACGAGTCACGCGCGCTCAGAGTTTTCACGCGGGTTTCCCTTATCGTCCCCTCTCCAAAGAGGGCTTGGTGTAAACGGGGGGTCGAACTTGGGGCCGAAACGAGCACTCCATATACACCAACGGAGAAGGACGCTGCGTCGATGTGATCCCGCTGATGACAGCCGAGGGGGCGGGGGGGGGGCGGCCAGTCAGGTCGCATCTTCAGCCTCCCCCCAGCCTGGCGCGTCCGCCAAGCACGTGGAGGGGAGCAAGATGGATCATCATATGAGGCATGGAAGCGTCTTGCAGCGCCTCGCGGGTCCAAACGACAAGTCAGTCCGTTCGTCGTGAGAAGCGCCGACGCGTGTCCACAGTGAGAGCCTTGGAGCTGAAAGATAGCGTTGCCCAGCCAGGGGGCAGTTTTCACAAAGGCACCCACCCACGACCTGCGCTAAGCCCGAACATATGGCAACGCACGGTTCGGTGCTGGCATTGCAGGTGCCCTGGTGGATTCTGAAGGATCTTGCGGGTGTGCTGGATTGATGGGCCCACGGGGGCGATGATATGCAATCGGCATGTGGCAATGTTGTGAATGGTTCTGGACTTGTTCAGGCATCTGGGTCAATGAGGCACTGCGCATAATATAGCCTCTCTCGTGCGGGGTGCCTCGCGCGCATGTGGCACACGTGGCTCAGATATCGCGCTGACGTCGCGGACAACGGGGGCAGCGTGCTCCGGCGATTTTTCCACCAGGGCGTCCCGCAGAGCCCCGGGGCATTGCAAGGCGCCACCCGGCGAGGTCGGGGCCGCTGGCCGGGCGCCGCAGCCCGCCGTGCAGGACGGCCCCGTCGTGGATGGTTCGGCGGCCAGCTCGGGGGGAAGCGAGCGGGGGCGAGCCTTTTCAGAAGGCTCGGAAGCCCCCAGGCCTTCTGAGAAGTCTGGTTCCAGGTGTTCCCGAAGACGCACAAAAAACCGATCAGGAGGCGCGAGGGCTTCTGAGAGGCCCCGCCGCCTCCCGAGAGGGCCTTCGCCTTCTCACTTCTCCCCCCCCTTTCGGAGGCTGCCAGAAGGGTTCGTTGGACTTGAGGTTGGTTTCGCTGGACTCGAGGTCCTCTCAGCCCGACCTTAGGCACTCCAGCACGACCTGAGGCGCCCCCGCAGCCGTCGAAATCACCCTTCTTGAACCAGACCTTCTCGCCGTCCTCGACCACCTCTCGCCGCCGATCGGTGCCCCCGGCCCCGGCCGAACCGCCCACTGACGCAGCGCATCGCGACTGCGGGACTGGGGCGCAGCCGAGACCACGGAGGCCCTCCCTGACGTCTTTCGTCCCTCCGGGCCACCGCCTGGAGGCTCCGCGGCGCCGCGGCCAGGCCCGCCTCGAGAAGCGGGCTCGGGAGGGAGAGGGAGGAGAAAGAAGGCACCCCCTGTGCGAGGGGGGCGGGTACCCACTCGGGTGCCCCCGGGCTTAAGGAGGGAGGGAGGCAGAGGGGAAGGGAGGGAGGGAGGGAGAGGGAGAGGGAGAGGGAGACTGAGAGGGGGATGGAACGGGAGAACGAGAGGGAGAGAGAGAGAGAGAGAGAGAGACGGGACGGAGAGGCAGATGGAGGCGGAGGAGACGGAGAGGGAGGGACAGGGAGACTGAGAATGATACGGGGCTGGAGGACCGAGTCTGAGCGGGCGGCCTGCAACCGCGGGGGCAATACAACTGGGTAGTCGGCATTCATCAAACAGCGCTGGACGTTTGTGAAACAGCCCTGTCCTGTTCGATTCCTTCCCTTGGGTGCGTTTCCTACACCGCTTCGCTTGTGGGGGTGTTTATTGTGAGGATGGCTTCCCTACCCTCTCTGTGCAGGAAAAGATGCCACATATTGCCGCCGCGGGCCGCATGCAGAGGTGCGGGAAGGGCGCGCACGCTCCTTCACCCCGGGCCCGTCTACAGCCACATTCCGCAGTAAGGATGATGGGCCTGTTTTCCACCACCACCATAAGTTGGAGGGGGGAGGGGTCCTCCTCCTCCTCCTCCTCCTCCTCCTCCTCCTCCTCCTCCTCCTCCTCCTCCGCCTCGTCCTCCTCCCCCTCCTCCTTCCCCTTCCAATGTATGGCGGCGGCGGTGGTGGAAAACAGGCCCATCAAAGGACGCGCTGCCTCCTCAGGGCTGCCCTTGCACCCCTGCTTCTGCACTGCTGCCCCCTTCAGCGGGCACCTGCTCTGCGCGGGCCCCACACGGCCCCTAAGCTGCCGCCGCGGGCCCCCACGGGGGGGTCAGGGGCAACGGCAGGGGGGGATAGGCTGAGGGGGGGACGCATCGACCCTCGATCGCCCATTGATCGCCGCTAGGGGCCCGATAGCCCACCCCGCCCAGGATCGCGCGGATTCGCTATCGGGGGCCCATCGCCGATCTATCGGCTATGTATCGCCGACTCCAGCTCGATGTATCCCCCCCTGAGCTGGTCCTCTGCCGGTTTTCGGGTCATAACGCTGCCTTCCGGCGGCCGTTCGGGACAATCCGGGCACCCCGAGAACGCTCTCGGCGAGGTGCAGCCGCTAGAAGGCATCCCGAAGCTGGAAACCCGCCGCGGGACCCTACGAGAAAGCGAAAACATAAGAAAAAGCTGCCGAGAACCTCATGCCCCCAAATCGCTCGAGTATCGAGTAGGGGATCGACTGCAGAATTGACTTACCCCAGAATCGATGTGTTCGTCGAATCTTCGTGTACATAGAATGATCAGAAATCTTTGTGAACATTGCAGGTCTGACGGGAACGTCGTCTGGGGGGTAGATCAACTCTGTAGTCGATGTCCTATTCGAACCGTTGCCCCTTACCTCGGATGCAACTCCTGGGAGGTCAAATTCTGATTTTGCCCTGGTCCGAAGTCCGGCTTAGTCCAGCGTAATCCCGCTGAATCCCGCTTAATCCGGCTTAATCCCTTTTGATACGGCTTCATCCCGCGTAATTAGAGGCCCACTCTGGCGCAACAGCCCTGCAATGGGGCTCAATCCTCCTTTCTGGGAGACGGAAGACTCGGCTACGGGAGACTTGGGTTGGCCTGACGGGGGCCATCATAAAAATGACGAGACCCAATCTGAAATTTAACGCGGGCTCCCGCTGCAAACACCGCACGAAATCGGGACCGTCAAAATCCAGGACGCGCTCGTCAACAAAAAAGAACCGGCAGACCCGAGTTCCGGCGTACTCGGGTCTGACGTTTCCCCGATCCTCCCTCTCCCCCGACGAAGACCTCGACCTCCCAGCAGCTGCTTCCTGACCTTACGGGGGCGGGTGGCCCCGGCGGGCCGCGGCACGAGGCCGTGGAGCTCTCGGCCGCCGGGGCGCACGAGGCGTACCGCTACGGCGCCCCCGGCTGAGGCATGGCGGCCCGCGCGGCCGCGGCGGGCGGCGCTGCGGGCCGGCCGTGCCCGAGGGCGGGGGGCCCAGGCAGCCAGCGTCTCGAAGAAATCGAGGCAGAGGGTTCCCATCATTTTCGGCCTCTCGGGGCCCTTACTGGGCCTCGGGGCCGTCAAAAGACGACTCGGGGTGAAAAACCGGTCCCGGGGAAGTGGTCGGGAGGTCGGGGGCCCGCGTCTCGAAAAGATTGAGACGCCGGATGTCTGGGGGGGAAAGCTCATCGGGCGTCGATTAACCCAGACCCCCTCGGGTCATGACAAAAATCACGACGGCATGCTCTTGGCTACTGTCGGTCCCTGGGTGCCCACACCGGACCTCGGGAGCGTCAAGCAACGACTCAGGATGAGAAGCCGGTCCGTGGGAATGAGTCGAGACTTCCGGGGGTCGACGTTATCAAAAGATCATTGGGTGCGATAAATGGCTGGGTGAGGAAAGGTGCACCGTTTGTTCCCTAACGGGCCCCCCCATGGGCCCAAAACGGGCACGAGAGGTGCACGTCCCTTGGCCCCCTGTATCGCCCCCTCATTCAGCAACGCCCAGGATCCCCACAGAAGGCGTTTGGCCGGGGCCCTTTCAGGGCCCCCGGATCGTGAACAAGAGTCACTCAGGATGAAGAGCTGGTCCTCTAGGCCTCCCAGATGGGGTCGGAGTAGATGGGGCCGGAGGATCGCGCCGCATCGCCGATGCATCGTCGATGTGGCTCGATGTTGAGCCCGATTGGCTTCACGTCGACGTCACCGATGCATCGCCGATGTCAACGTTGCATCGCCGAGGCATCGCCGATACATCGCCGATGTATCGGCGATGCGGCGCGCTCCTCCGACCCCATCTACTCCGACCCCATCTGGGAGGCCTCTGGGTCCTGGGGACAGGGTCGGGGCTTCCTGGGGCCGCGGGTTGAAGCAGAGACCGTCCGCGGCAGCCCCGCCGGCGGCAGAGGTCGAGAGGCGGAGGCGGCACCGATGCCGCCGCTCGTCCTGGAGAGCTCTCGCGGCCACTGTCGGGCTCCCCAGAGATCCGACGTCGTGATTTTTTCCATACGCGGTCCCCGGAAGCCTCGATCCATTCCCCAGGACCGGTTTTTCATCCTGAGTCGTTTTTTGACGGTCCCGAGGCCTGGCGAGGGCCCCGAGGGGCCGAAATTTGCGAAAAACCTCCGTCGTGATTTTTTCAATACGTTGGATCTCTGGGTCTCCTGGTGGGCCGCGGATGGGTCGTGCTCGGCTCGCGCCGCGCGCTCGGCTCGCCCCCCGGGCGCCCGGGCGCCTAGGCCTCCGGGGTCACTCTGGCGTGTAGCCGACCTTATTGTCAGGCTGGCATTTCTGCCCATTACCGAGCGATCCCCGTGCATCTCAGCCCTCGCCAACCACGGGCAGAGGAGGGTAGGGGGATGGGGGACGGTTTCTTAGAAGGAGGCTGCTTCTTAGAAGGCGTGTGCCCCACCTATAGATGTAAGGCTAGCGCCTTCTGAGAAGCAGCCTCCCTCTGAGAAGCCTCCCCCCCTCCCACTTACCCCTTTGTGCGTGCGGCCAGTCCTGGGGCGCAGCCCGCTCCCCCCCCCCCTCCCACGGCGTGCGTCACGCCGCCATGCAGGGCGGACCGCGTGGCTGCGGCCAGCGGTTGCGAATTCGTTCCTAGGTGGCGCGCGGCCCGGCCAGGCAGAAGTCGGCCGTCCTTCTGCGCCGGACGGGCCCACCAAAAGCGAGCGCCAGGCGGTCCTGCAGATGCGCAGGTTTCGGCACCGGGCTGCTCGCTTCATCGGGTTGCGAATAGTGCTGGGGTCGTCTCATCGGGCTGCCCGCCTCGTCGGGCACGTTTCGGCACCAGGTTGAGAGTCGTGTCTTGGGAAGGCCGCTTGTGTTTCTTCGGGTGCCGAGCCGCGCTCTATCCGCTTCTCGGGGTGCTGCCACGGGCCGGTTGCCGCGGCCCCCCGGGCGGCGGCCGGCAGGCCACCGGAGCTGAAGCTGGAGAGAGCTGCCTCGCGTGCAGCCGTTTTGGCTCAAGCAGGACGGCCCGGCCTGCCGGGGCGCGCGCTCCCTGCCGAGGCAGCTCGGGCAAGGAGAGGCAACGGCGTCCGTCCCTGGCGTTTCTCGTCCTTCCTGGGCCTCTGCTGGAGGCTGCCCAGGCATCTGGCGTCTCCAAAAGATCGAGAGAGGTTTTTCATCGTTTTCGGCCTCTCGGGGCCCTTGCTGGGACTCGGGACCTTCAAGAAACGAGATGAAAAGCCGGTCCCGGGGAAGTGGCCGGGAGGTCGGGGGCCCGCATCTATAGACCAAATCGGGACGCCGGAGGTCTGGGCCCGAGAAGCGGGCCAGCATGGGACCCCCCAGGAGGGGCCCAGTGGACCGAGGCTGAGCGGGCAGCACTGTGCGCGGGGACCGGGGCCTGCAGGACAGGGGCCCTGAGCTGCCACCTTGGGCCCCAGAGGTGCGCGAGAGGTGCGCGCTGCTTCACCCCGGGGCCCAGCTCTTGCCCCCCCCGTCAACGGACACCCGGTCTGCGCGGTCCTGGGCCTGGGCGGGAGGAGCGCCGCGCTGTCTCCCCTGAGGTCCGGCGTCGCGAAGGGACTGCAACATCGCGGGAGGTCACGACCGCAGCCCGAGGCCCCATCGTTCTGCGCCAGCTCTGGAGCTGGATATCGATGCGTGCTGGCGCGGGGGCCCGAGGCCGCCAGGCGAAGCAACGCCCGACCCAAGAAGAGTGGAGGCGCCAGGATCTCGGGGGAGCCGGGTGGGCCGCCGTCTCCCCAGACCCCCGACGTCGTGAGCCGTTCCTAACGTCGACCCCGAGAGGTCTCGACCCACGTTCCTGGATCCTCCTCCTCCTCCTCCTCCTCCTCCTCCTCCTCCTCCTCCTCCTCCTCTTCCTTCCCCTCCTCTTCCTCCCCCTCCTCCGCCTCCTCCTCCTCTTCCTCCTCCTCCTCCTCCTCCTCCTCCTCCTTCCTCCTCCTCCTCCTCCTCCTCCTCCTCCTCCTCCTCCTCCTCCTCCTCCTTCCCCCCTCCTCCTCCTCCTCCTCCTCCTCCTCCTCCTCCTCCTCCTCCTCCTCCTCCTCCTCCTCCTCCTCCTCCTCCTCTATCCCGAGTCGATTTCTGAGGGCCCTGGGGCCCGGCGTGTGTTCCTGCAGGGGCCGGAATCGGCCAAGAACCTCCCATCATGTTTTTGTTCACGACGCGAGGGGGTCTGAGTCCCGAGAGTTCTGCTGGCCAGCGCAGGGACCATTCCGAACACGAGCGGCGAACATATCCGTATCCGCGCCCTCGCGGCTTGGACTCCAGGGCGCGATTCCGCGCAGAGTACACGGTCGCACGGATACGTTCTGCGCGGGGCATCGGCGACAACTCCGCATCCTGTACCCATCGGTCGTTGATCCCCAAATCCCAGTCTACTTCAGGCGCATTCCTACTTCAAGAGTCGAACGGCTGTCCGGCGCATTCCTACTTCGGACCACATTCTCCCCTCCTCTTCAGGGGGCTGGCGGAAGCCCAATGCACTTCCAGATATATGCCTTCCTGTGTCGCGTTTCTGCCCAGTTCTTCCGCCCGATGGGTACCCCGGGGGCCGCGTCCCGGGGGCCCAGTCCGCGAGGCCGCGGATGCGGATCTGTTCTTCGCCCATGCTCGGAAGCCTAGAGGTTGACACCAACACCAATATCGGCGGTGTGCCTCCACCGAGGGAAGATGATCCCGATCTCGGCGATGGCGGTAATGTTCGAGCGATTCCCACCGACACCGAGATCTAGGACCATCCTCCCCCTGTGAGGGGCAAACCCCCTGTTTCGGGTGCAACTCCTGGGAGGTCAAATTCTGATTTTGACCTGGTCCGAAGTCCGGCTTAATCTGGCTTAATCCCGCTGAATCCCGCTAAATCTGGCTGAATCCCGCTCACTCCGAAGCCCACTCTGGCGTCACAGCCCCGCAATGGGGCTTCATCCTCCTCCATCTCTCCGGCGAAGACCTCCCAGCAGCTGCTTCCTAACCCTGAGTTGGTGTTGGTGCCCATTTTCGCAGGCCTAGAGGTTGACACCAACACCAATTTCGGCGGTGTACCTCCACAGAAGGAAGAAGATCCCGATCCCGGTGATGGTGGTAATATCCGGGCTTCCAAGGTGGCCGAAATATTACCACCAACACCGAAATCGAGAATCATCTTCCCCCTGTGGAGGCAACGCCCTGTGTTGGTGTTGGTGCCTATTTCCAGGCCTCCAACATTTCCAGGCCTCCAACACACGCCCGCGCTCGGGGGCCATGGGCGACCCGGGCTCGGCCTCGGGCGGGGCCGCGAGCGGCCCGCACGCCCTCGGCATCTCCGAGGCCCCCGGCGGCCAGCCGCCGGCGGGGGCGGGGCCGGCGGGCGGAGGCCCTCGCGCCGGCAGGCCGGGGAGGAGGAGGAGGAGGAGGAGGAGGAGTCTGAGAGTCTGCTCCCGAGGAGGAGTCTGAGAGTCTGCTGCCGCAGGTCAAGGCCAGCCTCGGCAGAATGCGCCAGGCAAGCCAGTGAGACGAACCCGAGCGCCCCCAGCCACGAGCCAGGAGGAGGCGGAGGAGGAGGAGGAGGAGGAGGCGGAGGCGGAGGAGGAGGAAAATAGGAATGGGAATAGCTGGAAGACGAAGTCTATTCAATACGCGCTGCCACCCCCAGAGCCTGCTGAAGTAGTAGACGACCCGGGAGGCGCAGCACGCGACCCAGAAGCTGACGACACGTCAGGAAGCACGAGGAACCAATGATACCTCGTACGAGTACCTCACACCAGAGACCGTTGCAACTGAGATTTCACTCCTTCCCATCAGCCGTACACATGTGGGTAGCACTGCACCGAAACAACGGGACGAACTACCAAACCTCGAATGCAGGGAGAAGATGCCAAGCCGTCGACGATGTGCAATCCAGCCAAAGCTTTCATGGGGCACGCGGGGCCCGTACAGATTAGCAGCAAACCCACCCCAACCATACAACAAGAAAAGGCATATCCCACGAACGACAAGACACTGTGCGAGCCGTTCGAACTGTACACTGAAAACATGGCCGGCCGTGTCCAAGCACAGAGAACTGCTCCACGACAGTTCGCGGGACCACTCTCTGCAAGCCCATTGCAGCCCTGTAGCTGAGAAGGCGCCGAAGAGCTGCAACCGCGGTGCACCAGCCCCATACCTGCGTTCTGCCACGAATCGCCCTTCACGCACGTGCTGACCCAAGCGTTGTAGCTGATGACCGACGGGCCAGCCCAGAGCTGCGCTCTCTTCTCGCGTGCGCCAGCGACAGGGAATCTGCACGCCGACAGCCCGCGGAACCACTCTCTGCAAGCCCATTGCAATAATGAGGCTGAGAATGTGCCGACGGGCTGCGTCTGTGTTGCACCACCCATGTACCTGCTGGCTGCCACAAGACGCCCTTCTCGCAAGAATACGAAATGAAACCTGCACGCCGCCAGCCTGCTGAACCACTCTGCGCAAGCCCATTGCAATAATGAGCCTGGGAGTGCGCCGACGGGCTGCTGCCGTGTTGCACCACCCATGTACCTGCTGGCTGCCTCAAATCGCCCTTCTCGCACGTGCTGGTCCAAGTGTTGTAGCAGATGTCCGACAGCCCACAGAACCACACGCTGCAAGCCCATTGCAAGAATGAAGCTGAGAATGCGCCGACGGGGTGCAGCTGTGTTGCACCACCCTTGTACCTGCTGACTGCAACAAAATGCCCTTCTCGCACGTGCTGGTCCAATCATTGTAGCTGATAGAAGGGCCAGCCCGAAGCTCACCCTTCCCACATGCGCCGAAAACAGCAGAATAGGAGATGAACCCTGCACGCCGCCAGCCGGCTGAACCACTCTCGGCAAGCCCATTGCGACAATGAACCTGAGAATGCGCCGACGGGCTGCCGCCGTGTTGCACCACCCATGTACCTGCTGGCTGCCACCAATCGCCCTTCTCGCACGTGCAAGCGTTGTAGCAGATGACAGTCGGGCCAGCAACCCCGAAAAAAACACAACAGAGAATGGATGCAGAGGGCCCCATTCATAGTCACTGTGTTCTCCTCGGTTATTTGTCCGCCTTCGCCACCGCGATCGCCCGCGAGCTAGCGCGGGAGACGCGGTGCCCCCCAAGCACCTCTGGACGGTGACGGACACGACGCCAAAGCGAGTTTGAGCCCAAAGGGTACCTACGCGCCTTGGGCCGCATGTGCTTGAGGGAGGAGGAGGAGGAAAAGGGTGAGGAGGAGGAGGAGGAGGAGGAGGAGGAGGAGGAGGAGGAGGAGGCGGTGGAGAAGGCGGAGGGGGAGGAGGACGAGGAGGGGGAGGAGGACAAGCTAGGTGCGCTCGCGTCATATCTGACATCCTACCCCTCCCTCCCATCCCTTACCATGGCGCAGATCCCCTCTCTACTCGCACAGTCGGATGTCGAGCAGGGCAATGATCCCGAAAGGGTACGCGATGCATTGTAGAGCACGGCATGGCATGGCGTAGAAGAGCACCGCAAAGCGTAGTATCAACCTAGCATTGCATTGCACGCCGTGGCATGGCACGGGAAATGACGCCAGCGCTGCAGCGGGAGCACGAGTCGAAACGAGCGGAAGCGTGGAAATGAGGCCAGCGCTGCAGCGGGAGCACGATTCGGAACGAGCGGAAGCGCGGAAATGAGGCCAGCGCTGCAGCGGGAGCACGTTTCCGAACGAACGGGGCCCGAAAATGAGGCCGGCGCCTCAGCGAGAGCAGCATTTTGAAAAGAATGCAAGCGAAAACCCAACTCCCGGGAAACTTGTGTGTAAAAAACAGGACGCGGGGGGGGGGCGAACACTCCCAGCACGTCATCAGGGGAAGAGGAAGAGTAGTATGTATTCATATTGAGTAATTGTGGAGGAGGAGGAGGAGGACGAGGAGGAGGAGGACGAGGAGGAGGAGGAGGAGGACGAGGAGGACGAGGAGGAAGGGGAGGAGGAGGAGGAAGGGAAAAAGGAGGAGAGGAGGAGGAGGAGAGGAGGAGGAGGAGGAGGAGGAGGAGGAGGAGGAGGAGGAGGAGGAGGAGGAGGAGGAGAGGAGGAGGAGGAGGAGGAAGAAGGCGGAGGAGGAGGAAGAGGGGGAGGGGGAGGAGGGAGGAGGGGAACAGGAGGAGGAGGGAGGAGGACGAGGAGGAGGAGGAGAAGGAGGAGGAGGAGGAGGAGGAAACGGAGGAGGAGGGGGGGGAGGAGGTCGGGGGGGAGGAGGAGGTGCCCTGCGCCGCTGCCCTCGCCTCGCTTGCGCCTTTTTTGGGTCGAAGGGGGAAACATGTATAAGCATAAACTGGTTGCGCCCCGCGCGGATCTCTTGGATCCGCGCTAGGACCCCCCCCCATCGGCGCCTCCGGCGCTGCCCCTGGCGCGCTCCGCGCGCCAGGGAGGGGGGTCCGGCGCAGATCTCAGAAATCCGTGTGGAACGCCCAAAGATATGTTTATACCGTTTTCTCTTCTTCTACTCGCCTCGCTTGCGCCTTCTTTGGGGGGGGGGGGGGCTCCTGGGAGGCCCTCGTGGCCACCGCTGGATCCGCCTAGAGATCCTGGTCATGGCGCTCCCCAGGCGAGGTCCAGGGAGCGGCGGCGTCGGTCCACCTTTTTTGGGGGTTTCGCAGGAAAGGCGGCGGCGAGGAGGCCGAGGAGGATGCCGCCTACACGACGGTCATGCTGAGGAACATCCCGAGGAACAAACAGTGGCATAAGTGCAATCCCTCGGGCCCGAGATGCTGGCGCCTCGGTTTCTTCGTGACGGGCGCGTCCTCGCCTGGCCTCTTGGCCCTGGGGCCATCACAGGTCGATGCGGTTCGAGCAACGGCACACAAAGGTGGGGTCCAGGGCCCTGGCCATGATTGTCACGATGTTGCATTTCTGTTCGTGGCGTCCGATCTCCGGGGAGGTCCGGGTGGAGTTCTTGGGTCGGCGCTGGGCCCCCCTGGCGGCGCATCCGGCGCCGCTCCTGGCGCGTTCCACGCGCCAGGGAGGGGGGCCCAGCGCCGATGATCCAAGGAATCCTCGCGGGCCTCCGAAGGTTCATGTTTATGCAGTTTTTTGCTTCCTCTGAACATCCCGAACAAGTACACCAGGCAGATGCTCATCGACCAACTCGACAGTGCGGGCTTCCTGGGCGAGATCGACTACCTGTACCTGCCGATAGATTTCGCGAACCGGTGCAACGTCGGGTACTGCTTCTGCAACCTCAGGACGGCCGCCGCGCGGAAGCGCTTCGTGGCCTCCTTCGACGGCGTCGCCGCCCAGTCGTGCCTGCCTGGCTTCAACAGCTACAAGGTGTGCCAGGTGACGAAGGCGAGGTGGCAGGGCCGGGTGGAGAACGTCAGGCGCCTGCGGAGCAGCCCCGAGCTCATGGCCAAGCTGGTGCAGCACCCGGAGTGGCTGCCGCTCCTCATGACGGAGTCCGGCGAGCCGGAGGTCTTCCGCTGCGACGGCGGCGAGCTGCCGCCTCCCCGCACGGGCGCGAAGCGGCAGGCCAGGGCGCAGCCCTCCCGGCCAGCCCGTGGCGCCGCGGCCGGCGGCTCGCAGAGGCATCCTGGCAGTGCCCAGGGCGGCGTGCAGGGCTGGCCTGGCATGCCAGAAGCGTCCAGCGGCTTCCTGGGCGGCCGCGGGAGCGGCGGCGGGGGGCGCGGCGGCCCGTTCGGAAGCCTCGGCGCCGACATGGGGGCCTACGTGGACCCGGCGGTGTCGTACGGCATGCCAATGGTGAGGGGGCTGCCGATGATGGCCGAGGGGGGCGCCCAGCACCTGCCCTACGGCGGAGGCTTCGGCGGCGGCGATTACTTCATGCCGTACGCCGCGGGAGACGGTGGCTTCGCCGACTACGCCACCATTCGAGCAGCAAGTGATGGCATAAGCATGAGCCTTCAGACGTCCGCGCGGAATTTGTGGATCGGCGCTGGACCCTCCCTGGCGCGCGGAGCGCGCTAGGGGCGGCGCCGGAGGCGCCGCCAGGGGGGCCCCAGCGCCGCTCCAAGAGATCCGCGGGGCCCTCCGAAAGTTTATGGCTGTATACCGTTGCTTGCTCCCCGAGCCATGGGCTACGGCTTATCCTGCTGGTGGAGCAGCCCGACCAGGCCGCGGGCGGCGTGGAGGCCTTCCGCGGCGCGGGCGGCAGGCCGGGCAGGGGCACGGGCCGCGGCGGCAAGTGGCGCGCCGGAGGAGGCTACGGCTCCATGCGCGGGTGGCGTGGGATGGTGTGGCGTCGAGGACGCTTACCATATTTCGAGCAAGTCGGGCCTGTCTCTCTACTGGAGGAATACTCCACAATGGGTCCAAAAATAGTCTGGGGACGATGTTTGATTATCTTTGGACTACGTTTTGACTATTTTTGTTTTTCGCCCAAAATCCGCCTGTAGGGGGACATGCCCGACCTAATATTTCGAAGAAACAACAGCGCAAACATAATCATCCGACGGTGCGCGCGGATTTCTTGGATCGGTTCTAGAACCCCCGTGGCAGCGCCTCCGCCGCCGCCCCTGGCGCGCTCCGCACGCTAGGGATGGGGTTCCAGCGCCGATTCAAGAAATCCGCGCGGACCGTCGAAAGTTTATGTTTATGTTTTTCTTGCTTGTTCTGATATCGGGGGCGAGGGGGTGATGTGACGTGAGAAGGCCGGCGGGGCAGCGATTGAGTGCGCCCCCGCGCTTTCGCCCGCCCAATGAAGAGCATATCCTATAGTTTAGCGCCTGTGAAAGCCAACAGGTGCGAATGATGTTTTCACTGGCCGTGATCGGATCATTCGATAAAGCAGAGCCTCGCATTGGGCTTGGCTCGTACGGCATTGTTTTGTACCTGGGCGGCGTCACACTCATGGCCGTTTCCAGTGCCAGATATTTTTCACCTCCCCGGCTCGATTCCCCCCCCCCCCCCTGCGCTCTCAGTCATCCTCCCTCTCTGCCCTTCCCTCACCTTACTCTGACAAATTTCAAGCAGGGTGGTGACAGCGGCAGCTTGGCCAGCCCGCAGCGCCCCACTCCCGGGGCCGACGATGGGGGCGCATAGCCCAGGGGGCAATCTGCCCAGGTATCCAGGGGCGCCGATGGTCCACGTCTTCGGCGAGGCTTCCCAGCGACTGCGTGTAATGCCCGCCCTGGGCTATTCGCCCCAGTCGTCGCCCCCCGGCACTCTGCCACCAGACACCGCGGCGCTACGGTTAGGTCGGGCGTGTCCCCCTACAGGCGGCTTTTAGACGAAAAATAAAGAATATTGTCAAAACAGATTCAGACATGATGAAACATAGGAACTACTGCCCAGCCTTTTTTTTACTATGTTTGAAGACTCCTCCTGTGGAGGGGCAGGCCCGACCGAACGCTACGGCACGTGTCGGCGCCTCACGGCGCGGCGCGCTCCGGCCGCGGTGCCCTGGCCAGAGGCCGGCCACGGGCCGGCTCCGCTCGTGCGACCGCTCGGCGTGGCCCCTCTTTTTGTGGCGGTCGCTGCCGCGGCAGGGAGCGGCGGCAAGCCCAGAGATCCAACGCATGGAAAAAATCAAGACGGACGTGTTTCGCAATTTTCTGCCTTTAGGGGCCCTCGCCGGGCCCCGGGACCGTCAACAAAAAGGCTCAGGATGAAAAACCGGTCCTGTGGAATGGGTCGAGACTTCTGGGGACCCCGTATTGAAAAAATCACGACGTCGGAGGTCTGGGAGGAGAGCTCGGAGGTTGACAGACCTCCTACCCTGACACGTCGATTAGCGAACTGGCCGTTTGCGGTGCGCGGGAGGGCGTCGCGGCCGTCGTTTTGCAGGTCCAGGTCCGTCGGTTTCGGTCCGAGGCCATTTTCACCAAGTAGAGGTGTGCTAAAGGGAGGTTTCTCCACCGCCGGAGAGCTGCACCAGCAGGTTCGGTAGCAAGCCATGGGAGCCGCGTGTGCGCTCGCAGTTCCGCCTTCAGGGTCCGCTGGAGTGTCGATCAGCGTGTGGAAAGCGCCGGCTTGGCGTCGACTCACGTCGATTGGTGTCGATCTAGCGTCGATGAGCGTCGACTAGCGTCGATCAGCGACGGTTCGCAGGAACCAAAAAGCTGGTATGGGGGGCTCCCATGAGCTGTCACAGAAATCGGCCACGCACAGAAGGGGGGCATGGGGCAGGGGGAAGGCTTCTTAGAAGGATGCTGCCACTTAGAGAAGGCGCGGGCCCTACATCTATAGATGAGACCCGTGCTCTCTAAGAAGCAGCCTCCTTCTAAGAAGTGCCCCCCCCCCTCCCCCTACCGTGTACCCCCTCCTCCGGCTTGACACCGAAAGCGGCATCCTTAGCACACCCGCGCGGAAACAAGCGCGGACCTCCGACGGTTCGCTGCCCGAGCTGCCTTGTGCTGCTCCTCTAGGGGACCCCATGCGAACCCTGCCCCACCCTCCCCCTCAGGAATCGTGGGGGGTAGGGGTACAGTCGGCACAGATTAGTAGGTCGACCCTGCCAAACCAAATGTACCCTTGTGTCCTGTGTCTCGCGACCCATACTTCCTACCTTCCTGTGGCAATGTGGCCCTCGGAAGGGTCTCGTATCCTTTCGCGTGTCCTGTCCAATCGAGTCCGACTGTAGGGTTCGCATGTGGCCCCCTTAGCTCATCCTGGCTGGGCGGGAGGCAGGAGCCCCCTGCGTCGCGCAGCACGGCCCAAGACGAGGCCGCCCTTGCCGCTGCCCGACCCCCTGGCGCTCGGCGCCCCTCGCCAGGCATCCGACCGCGCGAAGAGGTTGCAACATCTGGTGGGCCTGTCTTCCACCACCACCACCACCATAGGTTGGAGGGGGGAAGGAGGAGGACGAGGAGGAGGAGGACGAGGAGGAGGAGGAGGAGGACGAAGAGGATGAGGAGGAGGAGGAGGTGGAGGAGGAGGAGGAGGAGGACCCCCTCCCTCTCCAGCTTATGGTGGTGGTGGTGGTGGAAAGAAGCCCAGCAACATCGTGGGAAATCGTGCGTCCCGAGGCCTGCAAGACTCAGAGGAGGACAGGTAGCCATACTGCTGGCCTCTCCTCGTTTCCCCATTTTTGGGGAGGCCTCTGGAGGACTCGGGAATCCTCTGGAGACCTCGGGAGGCGTCGTTCGTCGTCGTCGCCGTCGTCGTCGTCGTCGTCGTCGTCGTCGTTGTCGTCACTCGTCGTCATCGGCGTCGTCGACGTCGTCATCGTCATCGTCGTCGTCGTTGTCGTCGTCGTCCTCGTCGTGGTTGTGGTCGTCGTCGTCGTCGTCGTCGTCGTCGTCGTCGTCGTCGTCGCTCGTCGGCGGCGGCGTCGTCGTGGTCGTCGTCGTCGTGCGTGCGGACGCTGTGGTGGTGCTGGAATCGCACGGCGGGGGGGGGCGGCGTTACGTTATGCCCCCCCCGGACCCCCCCATAACGCCCGATATCGCCGCGACTATAGAATCGCGCTCCTACCCGCTTGAACTGCACAGCGTGTCGCCGGGGCCGCCGCCTCGACACGCTGAGCAAAAGTTCCTGACCGTACGGGCACGGCAGGCCAGCCACAGCTGCCATCGCCAGGGAGGGGGTCTCAGATCTCCGACGATACGAAGATTTGTTCAGCTGGGGGCCGTTTTCAGAACCTTTTCAACTGATCTGGAAGGAAAGCCTGCCTGGGGAAGCGGTCGGGACCTCTGGAGCCGTGGGTTATGGAAGAAGAACACATCAGCGGATGCCCTGGGGTCAGAGCCCAGAGCCCTGAGTAATCATGGCAGGGGGGGGGGTCAGATAACATAGCTGACTCGAGCCTCACGCTTTTGCGCCAGGGTCCTCCCGTTCTCCCAGATCGCACCTTGCCTCGTGTGGTTCCCACCCAGTGCCCTCCTGGCACAGGTGCTATCCCGGATCAGCGGTTCCAGTGTTTCCTGGGGCCACATTATTCGCGGGGCCCCAAATGGTGTGGTGACCACACTGTGCGGTGAGTCGGTGGGGATTCGGGGTCACGGCACGGTTTTGGGACTCGAGCCCTTCTCCGAGGATGCCTCGGGCGACAGGGGCCTCCAGGGTCCCAAAACCGTGCGGTGACGGACCGTGCGGTGAAGTCTTGGGGCATTTCGAGGTCACCGCACGGTCCGTCGCCGCACCGTTTCGGGACTCCAAAATCATGTGGAGGTCTCTCCCAGACAGGGCTTCTCTGGCAGAGGCCGGTGGCCCGAGAGAGGGGGAGGAGGAGGAGGAGGAGGAGGAGGAGGAGGAGGAGGAGGAGGAGGAGGAGGAGGAGGAGGAGGAGGAGAGGAGGAGGAGGAGGAGGAGGACGGAGGAGGAGGAAGGGAAGAGGAGGAGGAGGAGGAGGAGGAGGAGGAGGGGAGAGGGGAGGAGGAGGAAGGAGGAGGAGGAGGAGGAGGAGGAGGAGGAGGAGGAGGAGGAGGAGGAGGAGTAGGAGGAGGAGGAGAGGAGGAGAAGGAGGAGGAGAGGAGGAGGAGGAGGAGCAGGAGCAGGAGCAGGAGGAGAGGAGGAGGAGGAGGAGGAGGAGGAGGAGGAGGAGGAGAGGAGGGAGGAGGGGAGGAGGGAGGAAGAGAGGAGGAAGGAGGAAGGAGGAGGAGGAGGAGGAGGAGGGAGGAGGGAGGAGGAGAGGGAGAGGAGGAGGAGGAGCAGGAGCAGGAGCAGGAACAGGAGCAGGAGCGGAGCAGGAGGAGGAGGAGGAGGAGGAGGCGGAGGAGGAGGAGGAGGAGGAGGAGGAGGAGGAGGAGGAGGAGGAGGAAGGAGGGGGGGAGGAGGGAGGAGGGAGGGAGGGAGGGAAGGGAGGAGGGAGGGAGGGAGGGAGGGAGGGAGGGAGGGAGGGAGGGAGGGAGGGAGGGAGGGAGAGGAGGGAGGGAGGGAGGGAGGGAGGGACGGGGAGGGAGGAGGGAGGGAGGGAGCGGAGGGAGGGAGGGAGGGAGGGAGGGAGGGAGGGAGGGAGGGAGGGAGGAGGGAGGGGGAGGAGGGAGGAGGGAGGGAGGGAGGGAGGAGGAGGAGGAGGAGGAGGAGAGGAGGAGGAGGGAGGAGGAGGAGGAGGAGGAGGAGGAGGAGGAGGAGGAGGAGGAGGAGGATGGAGGGAGGAGGAGGAGGAGGAGGAGGAGGAGGAGGAGGAGGAGGAGGAGGAGGAGGAGGAGGAGGAGGAGGAGGGAGGGGGAGGAGGAGGAGGAGGAGGAGGGGGGCTGCTGGTCGGGCGGCGAGGGCGTCTGAAGGCCCCTCGGGCTCCACTGGGGCCATCCCCA